CGGGGAATGAAATAGCGAACCTGCTTGTCACCGGAGAGGAGGGCTCCCGAGCAGCTGCAGGGATGCTACAGAGGAGGGTGTCTGAGTGTAAACTGCTCATTGTCATTGGTGCATGCAAAATAGAACTTCTGGAGCCCAGACTGAAATTCGGGAAAGAATATGAGAAGGTGAAGTGGGAGCTATGTTGACGGCACCGCTAAGGAGCTCTTGCAACACTGCAAGTCTTTTTGTCAGCATTTCCAGTTAAACTGGAAACATTAACTGGATTACCCTTTTGTCTTAATTTCCCCACTTAGAGCATCAGAACCATGACTTGCTCCCTCTCTGTTCAAAGGAATGATCCAAAAGGGCCTCTTCTGTTAAAATATTATGATCTTTTGTGCGGAAGACAGTTAGTTGATAAAGTTGATCATGTTTCCTTGAGTATCTGGCCCTGATCATGGAAGCTAGTATATTGGAAAGGAAAGAGAAACACTGTACTCTCTTTTTCTAGGGAAGTCTAGAACTTGACACAGAATTTTAAGATTAGTCCTTTGGTCCTGGCAGGTGAGCATTGTCCCATCCACCGAAAGGTCACCGGTTCGATTCCCAGTCAGGGCACGTGCCCAGGTTGCAGGTTCAGTCCCTGGTCGGGGTGCGTACAGGAGGCAATCAGTCGAAGTTTTTNCCCAGGTTGCAGGTTCAGTCCCTGGTCGGGGTGCGTACAGGAGGCAGTCAGTCGAAGTTTTTCTCTCTCTCCCATCCTCTCTCTAAAATCAATAACACATTTTTTAAAAAAATTAATCCTTTGACCAAACGGGTAGGTTGGCTCGTTGCAGCAGCTGTATCCCCCATGGACTGGATTACACAGCATTTCCATTGCAAAGCTTGCCTTTTGTGCGAGGCATGGAGCCTGCTTTTCCCCTTGCGGGAATCTCACCTTTCAGTCTGGTGGAAACCTATTCATTCTTCAAGGCCAGCAGAAGTGCTTTTCCTAATCACCAGAGACAGGAATGATTCCTTTCTTCCCAGGATTTCCATAGTTCTTTCTCCCGCTCAGATCCATATCCGTAACTACTTTCATACTCTAGTTACTTATGGAAATGCTTTTCTTCCTTCATATGATTGTAGCATCTTAATACCATGGTGCTTCCTGGAATAACGTAATAAATATTCGAAGAATTTAATGAATAAACCAGTGAATTGAGTAGTTGCCGTGTTTAGGAAATGACTGTATAGTCACATGGTTGGACGAGTAATTTCCGCTGCCTTACTCCTGTGACATCATTTGGGCCACAGTCAAAATGACTGGAGAGAGCATTCCGAAATTTAATTCTGTAGATACCTATAGACGAGTAATGGAGAGTGCATCTAATAGGCAGCTCGGTGAATTTGAAATTGATAGGGTGCTGTGTGACCCATTAATGTTTAAAATTTGATATTTAGATAACATTTCTAATATCGTAACTACATTCAGATACTAGACAATGCAGCTGATTGTTGGACACTCTCGAGTTTCATATATTGAGGGGTGGCTGTAGACAGAGAGCATGCACGGAAGGAAATAATCTTGGGTTTCTATATTTGGTACTATCGTGCAGTCTAGACTTCGAATTTTAAGACTTACAACTCAATAAATGTAGAAAATGTAAGATTGTTAAAAAAAAAAGAGAGAANGTGCAGTCTAGACTTCGAATTTTAAGACTTACAACTCAATAAATGTAGAAAATGTAAGATTGTTAAAAAAAAAAAAAGAGAGAGATTATTTCACCAAGAAAAGGTAGGCTTGCTGATGTGAACCTGCTCTTTGACAGCTAAGTCTTTCTCAGAAGCAGCGTTTTGCAGTCTTTTATCCAGAGCAGACCATCACTACCATGTCTCGGGTTAATGTCCTGACACCAGTGGGGTGACCCGAAAAGGACATTGTCTTTCTATCTCTTGCTCCTGGGAATTTTACTGAGTGAGGATAGCTACATTATCAGGCCGAAAGCTCCCATTAATACGCTCACTGTCAGAAGTGACATTACCTTGCTTTGTCCCCTCCTGGCATCATGTCTTTTACTAATATGATGTGGTAGAGAAGTTTTAATTACCTCGTGACACTGAGGAACTGTAATGCTGTAGGTAGGGTTTCGATTGTTCCATTTTAAGGTGACAGCTTCTGCGATCCATTGACAAGGGTCATTTCTTTTTGTTCTGCACAAGTGGGAAGAGGCTTATTTTTCTTTTTTTAAAATATAGCTTTATTGATTTCAGAGAGAGGGAGAGAGATAGAAACATCAATGATGAGAGTCATTGATGGGCAGCCTCCTGCACGCCCCCTGCTGGGGATCAAGCCTGCAACCCGGGCCTGTGCCCTGACTGGGAATCGAACCTCGATCTCCTGGATCCTAGGTCAGTGCTCAACCACTGAGCAACACCAGCCGGGCTGTTCTGCACTTTTAAAATGTGACATACGCCCCTTCAGCGACTAAATTTCTGTCTTGTTCATATATCAAAATCTACCTCAAACACAACGTTTTCTGCAGAATCTTCCCCACATCTTCTGTGGGAAGTGAAGAACACATATTCACTCGTGGTTTTTATTCATCAAACATTATTAAGCTCTTGTTATGCTCCAAATAGACAAAGGTAAATATGATGCTTTACTTCAAGGGGCGCGCTCTAGGACTTGAACCAAGTAAACGGTTGAGATGTTGTGTGATCAACACTACGATGCAAAACTACAGAGATTCCAGGGAGGGCGTTGTCAACTCAGTGGACAAAGGTGAGGGCCGAGAAAAGTTTGAGCGAGTAAATGAATCTCGAGTGTCTTGAAAATAGTGGGTAGACATTTTGGTCAAAGAGAAAAGTTCTGTAAAGACACAGAGGCTTGTAACACACGGGCCTATTCAGAAACTGACAACAAATGTCCTTGGCTTAAGAACAGAGGCAGGATGGGGTGGGAACAACCAGAAATGTGACAGAGACCATCTTATAAAGTATTAGTTATGCTGAGAATTGTGCTTGAAACAAAGTGGACACGCGATGTATTCAACGAACAAATGAATGAATCACTTTACCCGCTACTGGTATATTAAACCTTCATGTTTAATAATTTACTGTTTGCACCTTGGCTTGTTGAAGAAGAGCTATGTATTCACACTCTGTTTTCTGTACTTCATGTGTGGATGATCTGTAATCTGTAACAGTTAGAAACCTTCTTACTAATATGGGTGCCAAAACTTGGAAGTTCTTAAAAATATATAACAGACAAATGTTCACATATATTCGTGTTTTTCTTTTTTCTTTTTCTAGGGTCAGACATTGTTCAGTGGCTAATAAAGAACTTAACTATAGAAGATCCAGGTAAATAAATCATTTTCCCATTGATTGAATTATTTTTTGTGGTTTTAAGAAATATGTTTCTCGGGGCTAATATGACACGCAAACAAACCTGAAAAATTATAATTACACTTAACTCTGCTTGTAGCATTTATACAGATTTTATGGTAGTCAACATATATTCATCTAAAATTTACTTAGTACATGTTTACAATTTTTTACATATTTAATATTCCATTTAACAAAATTTGATTCAGGTGATTGGCAATTGTGAGAAGAGGTGAACTTTATCCATGTTCATGAATAATTGAACCTATAATTTATAGCAAGTGATCATGAGGTAATGAAATTTCCCTTTAAAAGACACATAAAAGTAAATTTCATTAATTTATAATTGCCTTAACTCCATTTTTGCATGAGGTTTGAAAACAATGTTATTTTTCTATCATGCCTGCCTGATTTTTTTTTAATGCTTTTATTTAAGTCATGGATCCATTCACCATGGTGGACATTAGGAATATTCTGCAGCACTAATCTAATTCCCAGTGTTTGGGAACAGTTCTGTATTGCCTGGAACAAATTCCTACCTATGTGAGGAATATTTAATGGCTTTTAAAAAATATCCTGTAAGAGCTCCACATGTGACAAACAACTCACATCACTGAAATGAAAATAAGCTGTATTTGCTTAGAGAAGATGCTGGGAAAACAAAAAAAATAATAAAAAATTGGGATTACCGTGCCTGAGAATGACATGGCAGAGAAAGATGGTAATACACTAACTACACAACCCACCATCCCTTCGATTAGAAAAGAATTCTGCATGGCTTTTGCTCCTGCCTCCGATTACCACCTTAGAATGTTCTAGAAGTAACAGTACATGAAGGTGCATCGACTGTAGCTCTAACTCTAGACGGCTGTGTACATCCCCTGTTCCTTTGGTACATGAGCTTTTAAAATGCTGTACTTATCCTAGCAGGTTAAGTGGAATTAAAACAGTTAAGTCAAGATGAAGCAGCTATTGCCAGCATCATATTATTACTAAGTGAAAACATTTATTTCTACCTCTTCAGTCCATTTTCACATTTTATATTTTTCTAGGAAAAATTAATTTCTTTATTGGCTTATTCATACTTTCATTCATTTAACACATATTTTCTGAATTCTTACTCTGGGTCAGGCACTGGGAGTACTTGAAATGAATCTCACTGTGACCCCCGGATAGCAAAGAATATTATGTATTTCTGTGATCCCTGGGTGGCACCCTGCTTCCTCCACTTTTCTCCTTTCCACCAGCCCATGCTCCTCAAGATCCCACTATTCCTTGAGAAGCATCCTGGTTTTAAAGAAGAACCGTAGGCTTTACAGACAGACTTGAGCCCAAATCCTGGTTCAAGTACTTGCTGACAATGGGGAATTGGGCAGGTTACGAGATTTCTCTCCATCAGTAAAATGTCTTAATATTGTATTTTGTGAAGCTTAAGTGAGTCAACATGCAAATGTGCCAAACTCTTGATTTTATTTTTAATTAGGTTCAATTCTTTCCAAACTCTGAACATTTGCAAGCACATTTAAATAAACTGAATTCTTTAAAAATGCATGCAATTCTTGTACTAGCATTCAAACTCAACTGTTTCATGAAGCCTTCTCTCAATAATTCAGCTCCTGTTGGCTTTTCTTTACCCTAAATCGTTACCAAAAGCATTTATACTTGATATTACTCAATTTGTTGCGTGATTTTATTATCTTTTATTTTCTGTTTCCCATGTATTAGTCTAACACTTTAGTTGAATCTAAACAACAGAACAGTAGAGGACACACATCCTCTCCAGTGATGAGATCAATCAAGTTTTCAATAATCACTTGATTTTTTTACTAATGGGAATTCACTGATGTGACAAGTTATGGTAAATAATGATTCTGTGTGCACTTTTCTAAATAGACGGGGAAAAGTGAAGAGAAAGAAATTTAAAATGAACTGCTCTTCATTTAAACCAAACCCAGTGTAAAAGAAATAGCTTAAAATCAGAATAGAAGAAAAAGATTAGGGATAAAGATGGAACCATGTTAAAAAAAAAAAAAAAATTACTTTTGAATAGATGCAAAAATTTCTTACTCCAGCAGTATTATTCATTGTAAAAAAAATCTGTGAAAATTGAGATTCAGACAAGTCAACCAGATGTTTTGCTTATACATCATCAAGCCGAGTTGACTGTCTTAATTGTCACTGCGTTAATTGTATCAGCCCATCGTGCTCCCCATTTCACAGCCTGTCACCTGCCTCCCAGTCCTGCCACAAGACCTATGGAGAAAGTGATCTAAATTCTGCTAATGGATAAACAAAACTTCGCTACGAATTACCTTTGTGCTCCATTGCTTCGGCTTGCCTGCCAGAGAAACCATAGCCTAAGGAACACGAGGATGTATCAGAACTGAGAAAATACAGGATGTCTTGCTATCCTCGATGTTTTGTTCTTACAAAGCATTTTTATGCTTTTTCAAATCACTTTAAGTAGGCTATTTCACTTGATTGCCCTAACAATAGCACGAGTTCCAGGTAGACCTGTCATTCACTTGACATGAAGCCTAGACTAAGACAACTCTGACTGCCCAAGGTCACAACAGAACCTGTTCGAAGAAATGAAACCTTGGTCTCCCCATCTCTGCCCTGTGTGCCTACCTCTTCTTGCCCAATTATTTCAGACCCAGAGTCTGGTTTTCCTTAAAGGGTTGGCCGTGAAGAGATGAGCCTGCACCTACCTGACCAGATGGTCCATTACATAGTAACCTCTGGAATAAAGTAATTCATTTCCTTGGATTAGGTGTTCTATTTACCTATTGCATCCTGGGCATAGCCTTCATTCGTGCTGTTTTCTACATATTTTAACTCATGTGTTATGGGTTTAAAAAAAAAGATCTTTATGCTGTTCACCTTGCTTCAAACAACAATCTCGGTTGGCAGACGGATAGGCGCGTCTGAAACTCTCTTGGCAATGATCAAGCCCTTCTGTACCTATAAAAACATATATTATCATGTATTCTGCAAGCTATCGTGTCAATGTGAAGTCAATAAAAGTGACCCCTTTATCATATACTGTTCCAGGGCTAGTGAACCATCCCCTGAAAACCTTCCGGGTTTCTAAGGCGTCATTTAACACTCTGATGACAACACCCAAGAAATCACAGACTGCAGCCCCCGCATAAGCTCTAACAAGATTGACTAGTCTGACCTAGTTCCCCATAATAGGTATTACCTAGTTCCCCATAATAGGTATTCAAATGTGCATTTTCTGTTATAAATAATGCCCAGAGGGGAAAAAACTAATACATTCCTCATGGCTTTGGGCAACTGCTCCTAACTCTTTCTTGCTACTGCAGCCAGAGCTTCAGTTATGTGCACAGGAAATATTATGTGTTGCTGTTATTTGCCTGTGAGAGAGCAAGAGCCATAGCTTTCTTTATGTGTTAATGTCAGTGCTTTATTAGCACCTCCACAGAAGAGAGAAGTCATTCCTTTTGCATATGTTACATTGGTACCCCAGTTCTGTGAAAATCACCATGTCTTGTGCACTGGATATCATCACGAACCTCACTTTCAGTGGCCCATGCTCCTTGGAAGACTGTAGCAAGGCAGAAAGGGGAGTCTGCAAATATTCAGACTAGATGCCTCTCATTCAAAGTAATCAACACCAGCAAGTACCATAGCACCAACCTGTTGGGATCGATGGTGTCATTTAACTTACTATCTAGCCACAGGATTTTCTCTTTGGTTCATTTATTTGTTTTTGACGTTTAGGTTTTGCATTTGCATTTAAGTATCATACTTCCTGATAGAACAGGTGACCGTTGTTATTTAACTAATAAGATTGTACCGTCATTTTCCATAATTAAAACTCAAAACCCAGAATGTACTGAAAAGTCTTCATGGAGTGTGTAAATCAAGGTTTTTGTTGCCAGAATAAGGGTTGTCCCTTCCAGCCACAGACAGGCCATCTTTCCAGATGATAGAGGCTTCTTCTGGTTTTGGCTTCTGACTGCCTTTCATCTCTCACCTCCAGTATTACATTGTTAATAACAGTAGAAAAGATTTACAGTATTAACATTAGTTAATTGGGTGGCCCCAGGCACCAGGCTGAGTGTTTTCTTCCTATTGAACTATTGTAAATGTGAAGGAGACGAGAGACCTCACACGTACTGAGCACCAACAATGCAACAAGCAGGACGTCGAAAACTCAATATGTGTTATTCGATCTTAAAGAGAGGAACTTCATGAAGTAGGTGGTAGATCAGAAAACTAAGACATAGAACCAGTATGCGAACCCAGACACATTTGCTACCAAAATACGACCACTTTCAGATCATTTCCAGGAGTACCGATTTCACTGTGCAGATGGTAGGTGAGGGCAGAGCTGAGACGCAGAGCTGGGATTCATGCCAATGTGTCCGAGTGATGCCAGCGCAGTGCATTTGTTAGAGACCCAGCAGGTGCCCTCTGGTGATGCCAGTTGCCTCTTATGGTTTGTACCGGCCAGCAAATACATCTCTGAATACCAGTCCCAGAGTTTTGTGATCTCTTTCCTTTTGATCTGGTTGGATGAATTTGTATATATTACCCATTAGACTTGCCAACTATTAAGGAAAATACTAAAAGCAGCAGGAACTCTAATTGGAAATCTTATCTTTTCTGTTGTAAAACTTAAACAGCATATTGATGACCAAGATCAATATATCTTTAATAGTTTTTTAACTCCACTTAGGGACATTTCCTGCTGTAGCAGAGCTTGCTGTTTCTGTCCTATCCACTAGAAAAAAACAAAAATAAAGCCCACTCTGCAGACCAAGTGGAAAAGCACAATTGCCCCGAAGAATTGTCTAATTTTTCTGTAGCCAGCTGACCTGTTTGCTTTTTCTATTACCCTTTTTTTCGGTAAACATGTTCCTTTTATAAGCCAACTTGAATTTTTGGTTTTTTGGTTTTGTTTTGGGAGAGGAAGGAAGAGAGGGAGGGAGAAAGGAAGGAAAGGA